AAAATATAAAATAAAAATATAAAATAAAAATATAAAACAAAAATATAAAATAAAAATATAAAACAAAAATAAAAAATAAAAGTTTAAAAAAAATATATAAAATAAAAATATAAAACAAAAATATAAAATAAAAATATAAAACAAAAATATAAAATAAAAATATAAAATAAAAATATAAAACAAAAATATAAAATAAAAATATAAAACAAAAATAAAAAATAAAAGTTTAAAAAAAATATATAAAATAAAAATATAAAACAAAAATATAAAATAAAAATATAAAACAAAAATATAAAACAAAAATATAAAACAAAAATATAAAACAAAAATATAAAATAAAAATATAAAATAAAAATATCAAACAAAAATATAAAACAAAAATATAAAATAAAAATATAAAATAAAAATATAAAACAAAAATATAAAACAAAAATATAAAATAAAAATATAAAATAAAAATATAAAATATCAAATAAAAATATAAAATAAAAATATAAAATAAAAATATAAAATATAAAATAAAAATATAAAATAAAAATATAAAATATAAAATAAAAATATAAAATAAAAATATAAAATAAAAATATAAAATATAAAATAAAAATATAAAATAAAAATATAAAATAAAAATATAAAATAAGAATAAAAAATAAATTAAAAAGAAAGCGTCATAAAATATAAAAATACTTTTTTATACAATTACCTTTAACTTTAAAGCCCGATTTTAATATTACTAATTTCAAAAATATATATAAATAATGTATCTTAAATTATTCTTTGTTAAAGTTGTTTCTCTGTGTTCGAAAGTTCAGTTTTATTTTTTTCAAAGCTGCTTCACTTACCCCAACTAGACTAGAAGACACATTAGTTAGGTTTTAAAGAAAACAGTAAGACATGAAAAAACGGGTACTTTTAATCGAAAGTCCGATAAATTGTTAAAATATCAACATTTAAGTGATGTCAAATAAAAAAATTTATAAGCATCGAAACAAAAAATAGCAAAACTTTTTTTTTACTATCTTCGTCGAAAATAGAAAAAGTGTCCGTTTTTCTTACTCAACTGCTTTCCAACAATATTTTGTTGCGCATTGTGTAACATTCTAATTCCCTAACTTTCATCCATTAGATGTTTTGTTATGTGATGTGTAGTTTTTGAGATATTTTAATTGCTCAACTGGCCCCTATGGTCAACTAGCCCCGCTCTACCCTACATAAACTTGATCCAGATTTAGGTAAATTAATTATCGCATTAATTATCACCAAATTTTTTTTTAATCTCGGAAATAAATTATTTTTAGTTTCTATAGCTACAACAAAATCATGTCTACACCTTTTCTGGATCAATTTAAAAGGAATACGAATCAATTTAAAAGGAATACGAATCAATTTAAAAGGAATACGAATCAATTTAAAAGAAATACTAATTTAAATTGATTTGTATTCCTTTTAAATTGATTCGTATTTCTTTTAAATTGATTCGTATTTCTTTTAAATTGATTCGTATTTCTTTTAAATTGATTCGTATTTCTTTTAAATTGATCCAGAAAAGGTGTAGTAGTTACGCAAGACTTCTATGAATAATTAAAATTATAAAAAAAGTAAAAAAATTATAAAAAAATAACTATTAGATACATTTTATTTCTGATGTGAAAAAAAAACTAATATTACATGATAAACTACGATCAATATTACAAGATAAACTACAATAAATATTAAAACTACGATAAACTACGATACAAGACACTACAAAAGATAAACTATACGACTAAAGATTTGTGGAAACAAAATCATTTTTGAAGCTTTTCAAGTTTAAATTTTTATGGCAAAAAATTTAGAACTTTTAATACTGTTTTAAAATTTAACTATATTTTAAAAGGTATTATAGTAACGCATTTTGATTTCAGAAAGAATTTTATATGAAAAGATATATATTATACTCTTATATATTAAGGATTTAGTTTGAGTGCCATGAAATAAAAACTGTCGGTCTCTTTGGTCCACAGTGTAAGTTAAACATACTAAAAGCAATTAAAAATAACATTTTTTTTTTTTAATTTTATTTGAACAGAGTGAGTTAAACCATGTATTTGCGATAAGATTATACAAAAATGTCGCCACAAAAAAATGACACTCCCTGTTTTAGCAATTATGCTTCTCCCATTCCCCTTACCCTCATACGAGCGTGTCTTATATTAATTTACCTTACGCATATCAAATAGACCCAAGTGAAATAGAGCCTAGCAATCGCCACTAATTAAATAAAACAACTCTATCATTAACTTATAAATGAAATGATTCATAATTTAAATAACTTAAAACGATTTCTTATACTAAATCTCGACGAAAATAATTTAGACTAATGATTTAAATGATACCCGCTGGGCACAATACATATTTTAGACGTGTAAAAAACGTCAAAGACTTATAAATACGTTTTTTTCAGACGTTTAAAACACGTCTTGTGCCGACTTAGTAAACACGAATTATATATATATATATATATATATATATATATATATATATATATATATATATATATATATATATATATATATATATATATATATATATATATACACCCAGGACCGTCCCGAAGAGGTCTATCATGGGAGAGGGGGGAGGGCGCCGTATGTATTTTTTGCCAACTAGAAACAAAATAAAAAAAGACCTTTGATATTTGAAATTTGCCAACTACAGTTCAAAAGTTGCCAACTCAAATGCATATATGACAGCTTTGAGGGTGGGACACCTCCTACACCCCCTGTTCAGGACGGCCTTGTATTCACCTTAACAATTAAAATAAAATGATAAAGAAAAACAAAATAAATAAATAACGGGCAGATTGTTAAACTATCGTAAAGTTTATTTCATAAAATTAACACATTTCATAAAATTAATTAATTTATTCATGCGCAAATGTTATTAAGCATTTCTCATAATTTAATTCAATTCAATTAAAATTTAAGAAGATATAGTTAAGAAAAATATTTTCAGCTCGTGAATGAATTTGTGATGAAATCCAAACAGAATTTAATAGTACAGCAAAGTCTACATAATTTTTAGAAGAATATATCAACAAACTTTAGTAAATTGATATTAGTTTGTCTGGTTAATGGGAATAATACTTATCACGTTAAAACTTATTGTATAACGTCATAAAATTTATCACGTGACATTGTCAATATTAACATAAAATGACAACTTTTTATAAAGTTATTCAAACAGAATAACTGCTCTCGCTGACTATTTACCAGTTACCATTTTATTATTTATTCAGAAACTTTAACTTTTGCGTTTTAAAGTAAAACTAAATCATGCTCAATTCTACAGAACTTAAAAAGTCAAGTTTTAAGTCCTTACGGGTATCCTTTTATATAAGAAAAATGTGTTCGTTTAAAGTGCAATGCGCAAGGTTATTTTGGTTTTATTTATTTTGTTAAATTTTATTAAAAACACTTTAAACAGAATTAAAGGAGCATCAAACAATTTTCCCCGCTTTATATATGATATTTCCGGAAAACTTCATAAGTTAGATACTCTCGATATTGCTTTAGGAGCTATACCGAATCAATCCATTATCGGCTAGAGCGATTAAAATCTATTCTAACAATTTCTAAAGAGTAATGAATAATAAAGCTTGTAAAATCTTATATTTTTCTTTCATTCAAAGTCTAAAATAAATATAACACCCGCAGATAATTTTATTTTGTTAATTTTAAGATTAACGCCATTTAACTTTATGGTGTATAGGCAACTTGAAAATAAAAGCGAAGGAGTTTCTTAGATTTCTTATAGAATTTCTTAGAGTACAACATTCATACAGACTTTTACAAACTTTGTTTGTGCTTTGCATACACTTATAATATTTAATAAAATTCAACTAATTATGAGCAATATTGACCAGTCTCAGGATGTTTAGTATTGTTTATTAGGTAGCTCACCGACCTCTAATATAGTTTTTCTGACCACTAAAATAAAGATAGATGAGGACATTAGTACACATGTTGACTGATATTTAAAGTTGGGAAAGCAGAACGTATGTTCGAAAAAAATCTGATATATATATATATATATATCTATATATATATCTATATATATATATATATATATATATATATATATATATATATATATATATATATATATATATATATATATATATACGTATGTATGTATATATATATATATATATATATATATATATATATATATATATATATATATATATATATATATAGTATAAAACCGAAAGTGACATTTGATATTAAAATGATGTGACTGACTTTACAAATAGCTTAGCTACCAAGTTGGCGCCAAATTTGTTTTTAAAAAAGCGGTTGTTTGATTAGATTACGTTTCCTAAAAAAACATTATTTTAATCTCACTGCAGAAAAAGAATTGCGTAAATTTCATAGAGATCATTTTTTCAAAAGTATACAAGCTTGTTTTAAAAGCGAAAAATTGTTTTAAAAGTGAAAAGATAAACAGTAAATCTAAACTAAAAATACATATTATATAGAATATTTAAAAATATATATAAAACATTTTACAAATTAAACTAAATATATCTCCAAAGTTTTTATTAATAATACAATAATTTTAGATGTTAAAAAAAATGATCTTGTATAACGTTGTTTATTGATATAATCAGAAACTCCATTATTGTTTTAAGTTTCAATGTTTGCTTTATGATTTTAAATCTAAAACTTAAATTTCTTTAAAAACTATAATTAAAACGCGCGAAAATTTACTTTTTTCCATCTCGAGAATAAAAAATGTTTATTAAAAACAAACGTGCTCAAAATACTAGAGTGTTACGTTTTTCCTAAACATTTTCCCACCTATAGAAAATCTTTATTAGCTTTTCTATTGGTTGATTAAAAAATGCTTTCAAAACATAAAACAAAAAGATTTGATTGACATGCATTCTTAGTCACGCCTGATTGTTTATTGCATTGTTCTCGCTTCTAACCGCTGAATAAACCTTTAAATATCACACAAAAACCTTTCGTCAATGTTTTTTTTTTATATCTTCGTCAATTAGACTTAAACGCGTGGAACGTGTTAAACAATATTTTGTAGTTGTTGAAAACTTTATTTAATATTTTTTTAAAATGAGTACAGCTTTGGTTTCGGCATTTTACGATATTAATGATGTTATTCAACAGGTAAAATACTTTTTAACGAGAAAATAAATGTTATATACTTTTTTTTTGGCATACAAATGAATCTAGTTAAATCTCTTAGGGAATATAATTAACTAAATAAATTTCTCTTGATTTATATTTTTAAATATCGTTTAAAGTAGTTAAAAAAAGTTTCTCTTGGGAATGTTTTAACGAGTATATAATGCTGAAGATAAAAACTGTAGAATTGTATTTATCGGAAATAAAGAGTTGTAATGCCTTTTGTAAAGGTTGTATACATTACAACATACATATTTTATTATTCAAAGGTTTATAACTCGCCTATGAATTCCTAACCAAGTGACATCATTAAAAAGCTTTATATGAATCATTATGATAACTTGAGTAAAATTTTTTTTTCAATTTTTTACTTTAATTTAGAGTAAACAACGACCAATGTTAGATTTACGTCAAAAACTGGAAGATCGAAGGCCAAATAATTTAGTTATTCCTCGACGTCACTCAACTAACTCAACGACTTTAATTAGTTTAACCACACAAATTACTAAAGCCCAAGTTTTGTCACCCAGTTCTTTAAGCTTTTACCCGATGCCTTCTTCGCCCAAGGATAAATTTTCGGGGAATGTTTCACCATTTCGAGAAAGAGCACAGAGTGCAAGTTTTCAAGAAGAACTAGATGCACAACAGAGAAAGAGAAATTCCACGAATTCTAGTCGCTACAAAACGGAGCTGTGTCGACCATTTGAAGAAAACGGAACATGCAAATACGGCGATAAATGTCAATTTGCTCATGGTTTTCATGAACTAAGGGGATTGAATCGACATCCCAAATACAAAACGGAATTTTGTCGAACTTATCATACAATTGGTTTTTGCCCTTACGGACCACGATGCCATTTCATTCATAACGACGAAGAGAAAAAGTTAGCTTTAACTAGTTTGGGTCGATCATGTTCTATATCAAGTATGGATTCGATTCCTCCTTCCCCAGCACACGATGTTGCTCCTTCGCCATTTGGCAATTCACTTACACCACCATTATCACCAGGGTATGGTGGTGACGTGTTTCTTTTTGATGAACCTTCGCATATTGCTCAAAACCCCTTGGCGGTGTGCGGACAAAACGCAATGAGTGTAATTCCAGAAAACTCTTTTCCATCTCCCTGTAGTTCGGTTAAAATAAACAGACTTAAAAGTAATGATTACATTCCGTTAACTTCTATGGTTAGTGGATTAAGTTTTCAGGGTATGAAGCCAATAGTAAATGAACGCTATACAACAACACCATCAGATTCAGGATCTTCAAACCCTCCCTCACCCGTCGAAAAGCTTCGTCGTCTGCCAGTGTTTGGTGGTTTGAATTAGTGAGTTAAGTTTTTTTTTTCTATAAAGAAAATTTTTTTATGTATAGCAATAAGTTAAGAAATTATTTTACAAGGTCGTATATAATACGATCTTTTTTGTCAAAATCCCCGAGGGTAAGCAGATAAAGCGCCCCGTTTATATTTGTTCTAGATTTAAGATTAATCAAAATATAAGAATTTTTGTTTAAAATATATTTATATTTATATATTTTATTTTTGGAAGTTTTATGCGTATAAATTTTGATAAAAGTATGGAGTTTTTATTTCGGTGATGGTGCGAGCCATTTGTCTTGCGGCTATATAAAATATCAGTCAGGGCGTCGCGAGGTCTCTTTTTTAAAGCTTCGTAATCCATTTTATAAAAAATAATGTTGTAATCAGAATTGGGTATTCAAATAATCTTTGATATTTTTTGCCTAATAGCTTCTGATAAGAAATATGCGTCATTAATCCTGACTGAAGCCACTAAGCTTTTTTTTTTTTTTTTTTTGCGCTCCATTGCACATATTAGTCATAGGTTTCGTAATTTTTAACGACAGAAAATCTTAATATAATCTTAATTTATACAAACATTTTTTTCAAAGTGTTTTCTCATTTTCTTTGTTATTTAAAATGTTCTATTTATTGACTTTGTTTTTTTTTTGTTTTTTTTGTAATATATTATTTTTGCTACGTTTTGCGGAAATTGTGTTTTCTCATAGGAGAGTTTACGCCGCAAATATATTATAATAATATTATTAAAAAGAGTATTATATCATTTTAAAATTTAAGTTTTTTTTCTTATATTTTATCCTTTTACGAGACTTTTATTCAAATTTAATTTATAAACTAACATCTTATGTTAAATGTATGCAGTGATATTTTTTGGAGAATTCCTTGTATATATATATATGTTAAACGCCAAGGAGGAGGTTGCTATTTTATAAGTGTTAACTCAGCTTTGTAGCAAATGTTAGCAGTGCGTGGCTAATATCTGTTTGCTCAGACTGATTTTCATTTGTTTAGCTTTTTTTTGTAAGTTCCTTAAAAAAAGACTGCGTTTGTAAATAAAAGCCGTGTTTTTTTTTAACGTTAATCCTTAGATTGAATGATTTAGGCTTGTTTTGTAAATTTAAAGTTGTTGCTAAGCCTCTCACTATTTATGTCGCCAACCTCCACTTGGTGAAGTTTTACCTCTACTTGGTGAAGTTTTATACTTATTTAGTACATTAGTTTGTAAAATACAAAAAAGAATAAATTATGTTGTTTAATTTATAACAGGTCTCAACCTAACCTGTTTTGTGGGTTGGTTGAGATTTTATTGTATTGTAGGTATTCCTACCCAAGTTGTAATTTATATACGTTTTGATCAGTTTTTTCAATTGATTATTGTCTTTTTTGTTTTTTGGTCTTCGTCCCCGTATGTTATTACAAAAAAAAATTTAAATTGCTGGCATTGTGTTTTTAGAACGAAAGTGCCCATATTCAGCACGATCTTTTTTTGCTAATTTTTTTATTTTGAATAAACAGTTTTGCTTTATATACATCTAGATTTTTTTTTCATTTTTATCAATTTTAAAGAACAATAAATTTGTTTAAAGTTAAATTTAAAAATTTTTAGCTTATCTTCGAATTAGTCTTAAGTGTTTGTTTTAAGTCAGGCGTCACATTGGGAAACGTTTAATGATAATGATACGTAATTTTGCTTGCGGCGCATAAAAATCAAACAAAGGGATTAAATTTTTCTACTTTCTGAAGTTTCGCTTTAATGTTTTGATGCTTAAAATGTTTGCTTGTTTTTAAGTCAACTGCATAGTCCAAATTTGACTCAACCTTTTTGATTTTTTAAGTCAAAATTTGTTGAACATTTTTTAGTTAATGTCATCTTTATTATTAAATTAATTTAAAAACATCGACGTGATATTTTAGTTTCGAAAGCGATTTTAGAGAAATATTGGTTGCGCTTTTAACAAAAATAAGTTATATTTTGTTGTTTAAAATGAAAGATAGATTTACAAGGAATTTCTGTTTTAACTTTATAAAGGTAATCGATTATTTTTTGGTAATGCAGTCTCAATTATCTTAGCCGTAAGACTTTTATACTTATAAGTGAAAACGAGAAAAACACTTTTTTTAATTTTAGCGTTTCACCCTTTAAATAACAAATAATGCAATTTGCATCGCATTATTTGTTAAGTGATAAAGTAACAAATAATGCCATTTGTATCGCATAATTTGTTAAGTAATAAAATAACAAATTATGCAATTGGCATCGCATAATTTGTTAAGTAATAAAATATAAATTATTTAAAGTGGAATGAAAGCTTTAATTAAAATGATCAAATAAAAAAAGTTGAAATAACTTGTAACAATTTTTCTTTTGATTGTCATGACTAACAATAATAATTCCCCAAAAACTTGAGCTTAACAGAACCATTCAGTGTATGCTTGTTTTTCTCAAAAATAACTTTGAAGATAATTATTGTAATGGCATTCTGGTCATGGTAAAATGACATGGGTATATCTGGACTTTTTAACAAAATCGTTAAAACTAGTAAAAACATAAAAAATGGGAGTACTGATTGGGCTTTAATTTTGACTTGAATAGAACAGAATATAATATTCTGGACAGGAATATTACATACAGTAAAAGATTAAATACAGACAAGTTTGTAGATCTGGTGTTTTTAGAAGATCCGTAATAGTAGAATTATTCTGAGATCAAATCAAAAGAATTACAGAACAAAAGTGTGTTTTTTCTTTCAAGAGCCATTGTTTGTAAGAATCAGGCAAATTCCTGAAACTGTGGAAGTGATCCCCTCCAAATTACTTTTTATATATTGCCCAGAATATTAAAAAACTATGGGAAGAAATAAAATTTCCGAAAATTTTCGTTCACTCGGAATCCGGTTTTAAAATTTAAAGGTTTTTCATAAAAATTTAGAAATTAAGTTTTTCTCATTTTTGAATCCATTTTTTTTGGCAAGGCAAGAACTTGCACATAATTTTTGTAGTTTTAATCAGACTTAACCCAGAAGGTTTCTTTAAAAAAAAAAAAAAAAAATTACGTGAAGCTGGGCGGCTAACTTAATCATAGTTGAAAAGTATAAAAACATTCAGTATTGTCTATTATTAATAGGAGTTATTTCAAACAGCGAAGAGTTGCGCACAACATTCTTGCAGAATATGTACGTATCATAAGTATTGTATCTAAAAATGCAAAGAACATTATGTGACACCTATGGTCTATCCATATATATTAAGGCTCAAAATATTTGCTCCAAATTTTTTTCCACAACCAGGAGTCTAGTTTACTTTTGAAAGAAAGTACAGTGGAGTAGAAAGTTATTTACTTAGGTCGTTCGTTTCAAAATTTTGCTGATCTATTATACAAACGATTGTTTCTTGAAATACAGTTTGAAACAAACTTACACCCTATTTTAGACCACGAGGCAAATTTTCGTAGTTATTTATTATTAACTATATCAAAACGATGTTTAAAGATTTTAATTTAATCGCATCGCGTCGAAACTCAAGTGATGATTAAATCTTCTTAGCCATTCACAGAAGATGTCTCAAGATAGAAGATGATGTCTCAAGATGAACATTGAACAGATTTGATCAAAGCTATATTAGTTTAAAAAAGAAAAAGAAACACTTCATATTCATTTTCATGGTCACACTTTATATCATTTAAGAGCATTTTTATTAATGAAGGTGAATGTCTTTTTTAGCATACTAAAAAGATTGTAAGAATCTAGAGACAACTGTTTGAATAAGTGTGTTCCTCTTGAGGTTAGATATAAAAATCCTAAATAACGCTCTTTAGTACAGGTTCTTAGGCATTGATTTATTCCTTGGTTATTTTAGAAAGTAAGTTCAGCACAATAAGATATACATTTTGTATAAATATTTATGTTAAGTAGTGATCGACCGATATTCTGTTTTGCTATCAGTTTCGGCCGAAATTTCAATATTAACCGATACCGAAATTTTGGTTTTAGTACTTTTTATAAATTTGGTAAGAAGTTAAATTTAGGTTGAAAAACATACCAATAATAGAAAATTTTTTATGATTTTAAATTTTTAGTTTATTTAATAAAATAGTTACTTTTTAAGATTTCCACAAAATATTTTACCATTTCTAAATGAAATTTAAGGCCAATCGCTCACAAAATACATAATCTTTCAGTTAGTAAATAGCGCGTATCCATCTTCTTTTTTAGGTGTTTCCTATAAATTGTTATGTTTTCCTAACAATTGTTTCTTGTTATTATTGTTTATATTTATTATTATAATTATTTCTTATTTAGAAGTTTTTGCTCCTTAATGCTTAAATTAAAAAAAAAAATTATTTAAAGTTGCTTACTTTCATTTTTACTTAAATTTTAAAAAATAAACGTCCTTAGCATGATCTTAGCAACGGTTACTTCTTAAAAAAAAACAAAACCTTTTCAAGATTTAAACCCCTAAACTTGTTCTTCCGTATAATATCGTATCTGCTTTTAATGTTTCTCTAAATTACTAAGAAGGTAAAATGCATACCCATAGCAGAAACTGAAAAACATAACTTTTTTTTGTTTTGCGTCTTTCTCAAACATTTGTTTTTCTAACTTTTGCTCTAACTTCAAACAATAAAGAAATAATTATGCTATGGCTTTGAAACTTTCACTGTTTAGTTAACATATACTTATGTCATTTACCTAAATACTAACAAGTAAATAAATACTAACAAGTATTATGTTTGAAACTTTTACAGTATGTTTAGTTAAAATATACTTATGTCATTTACCTAAATGCTAAAAAGTAAATAAATACTAACAAGTATTATGTTTGAAACTTTCACTGCATGTTTAGTTAACATATAATTATGTCATTTACCTAAATGCTAACAAGTAAATATATACTAACGAGTATTATGTTTGCAGAAAATACTAACTTATTTCTATCTAACAGTGATATCTTTAAACTCTTTAAAACAATGAAAAAAGAACTTAAACATGTATCGAGTTGGTTTATGTGTAAAATGTTAGCTCTAAATACTATAAAACAAAGTGGACCTTATTTCATTCTCTTTCCAAAAAGCGGAATTGACATTAAACTTACCTCAAATTTTTATCGAACATTTTAGAAAGTAAAACCTTTGAAAATATTTCTTTTTGTGCATATAATTATGAAGATGACAATATTCTCGCTATTAAAGGTAAAAATAAGTGTCACAATCTCGTCTTTATTGGTATTTATCTCACATCATGTCGAAATAACGAGGAATTCCTTTCAAAGTACGAACAACAACTAAACCTAATCACTTCAATCGTAAAAAACTACGAAGATGTAAGTGAATGTATTATTGCTGGAGATTTTCAGTCTTATCAAGAAACACTCTACGATTTTGAGATCCGTAATAATAAAAAACGCAATAAATTCTCTAATCATCTAACTAATTTCATTAAATCAAATAAGCTCTCATTTATCGATATAATTAGTGGCGCTGGTCCAACATACACCTATCAACATAAAACTCTATCTAACTCATCGTATATCGATCATATCGCAGCTCTAAAAGAGTCATCCTTATCTTTTATAAATACAAGCGTTATTCCTCCTTCTCCTTTTAATTTTAGTGATCACTTACCAATCGCTACAAATATCGTCGTTACACATACTAATCTATCAATCGTAATAAATAGCATAATGCATAAATATAATTATATTCCAAAATATGCATGGAATAACGAAAAATTCATTAACATATATAATCATAACCTCTCAACAAAAGATACATCTTTTCACGCAAAAACTTCCGTAAAGCAGTTAAAGCAGCTCATAACAAAAAGATCCACGAAAAAACTATAAACATTGAAAATCTTCGAACCACTAATCCTCAGAGGTTCTGGGATAACATCCGTAAAATCAAAACTAAAGCAACAACTCGATTATTTACAAATAACAAAACGCAAAATATAAAAGATATCGTTCAAGAATTTAGACGACATTTTCAAACTCTTCTCAATACGCCTCTTATTTCAAATAATAACCATAATCCTTCTCAAATTCCAACTCTAAGTAAAGAGCCTAATTCACTAATCATAACATCAGCTGATATTATAAATTGCATCTCACAATTAAATAGTAATAAGTCCCCAGATAGCTGTGGGTTTAAGTGCTAAACACCTTAAAAACTCTCATAATAATAATCTTCTTTTGTGGCTCGCTAAATTTTATAACAGTATTTTATCGAATGGAAAAGTACCAAATGATCTATCAACTTCAACAATTATTCCACTTGTTAAGTCATATAAAAAATCTCTTAATAATCCAGATAATTATCGAGGAATTAGTATTTTACCTATCTTTACTAAACTTCTAGAGTATCTAATACTACG